TCTACACACATATTATTAAATCAATAATTTGTCTATATGTATATATGTATATCTATCATGACAGAAGAATATTTATTATAATAGTAATATTTTTCATAGTGATGGATAAGTAGCGTATCTTGTATCTAAAAGAAGAAAAAAAATACAAATGACAGAAAATGAAAACGAACATTGAAACGAATAGGAAGAAAAAGAAAAATAGGAGAAGAAAAGAAGAAAATAGGTAGAAGTAATATTAAATCTTGTTTAAATGCATGTAACTATAGATCAATTATTAAGAATAATAATAATAATAATAATAATAATGATAATAATAATAATAATAATAATAATAATAATAATAATAATATTAATATTAATAATAATAGTAATAATAAAAGTCGAATAATACATTCGCAGATATATGATTGACAAGAAAAAAATTATTCTACAATAATATACCTAAATTTAAAGTATACAATAATTAATTAGGAAAATTCACATATATAAATATATATATATATGTATGTATGTATGTATAGAGATAGATAGATAGATAGATATAACATTGAAAAGAAATTCTTAAACAATCTAAGCAGAGTGTTCAGTAGAATATGGACAGAGATAATGCAAAACAATAAAAATAGTTTTTTTATTATATATATGAAATTATTTTAAATGTTATTCATTATTTTGTTTTTCAATAATCCTTGATAATAATATTTCTATCAGAAATGTGTGTTAGATTTTTATTTCAACAAGTTTGAATTAAAACTGTATGTTTGAGATTATTATTGTAAATATATACTTTTCTACGAAGATAAATAAATCATCAGGAAAAATTATTTAAAATACAAATTGTTTTCATCGTTTTTTTTTTTTCCTGTCATATTTTATCCATTCTTCTTACGAAACAACACCCTGCAAAATCGATGAAAAAATTCAAACGATGTCGTTTGAAACAACATTTGTTTTTAATAATAACATCGGAAAATATATCTTACAAGGAAAATGACTGAAAAGACAAATTTCTATTAAATTCTAAAGAAATGAACAAAAAAAAGTCTATACAATGTACATAATCATATTAATCAATTATCATTCATAATATAGTTATTTTTACATAATAGGACTTACGCATAGTAAAAAGAATCCTGCGTTAATTTGCATACATTATTATTATTAATCCTTTTTTTTTTTTAATTTTTTTTTTCCATTTGTTTTCTTAATCAAATTTTCCTATTGCGGTGTGTGTATCATATTTTGTTTAATATTGTGGTGTATCTCATCTCAACAGCGATAACAATAACAACAATAACAACAATATTAACAGAAATGTCAAAAAAAAAAAGAAACCAAAATAAAATTCTAAATAAGAAAGAAAATAAAAAAAAAAATAAAAATAAAAAGAAATTCAAACGGAAACAGGATCCAGAACAAGTTCACCGGTTATGGTGGCATCGATTTCAATTTGTGCAAGATCATTGGTTACAACAGGTTTAGCCAAACCTTTGATGTGATGAAAACTATTATTGCAACCACGATTTCTGTGTCTGTACAAACTCGACCTATATAAAAAGGTTTTACCGCAGTCCTTGCATTTTTGTGGATTACCGCACTCGTGGCGTACGTGCCACATCAAACTGTTTTGCCTAGAATAACTAGATCCACATGCGTAACATGAAAAACGACTATTTTTTCCTGATTTGTACAATTGCGAGGCAGGATTCAAATGGCATCTGTAATATGCGTGAGCTTGCAATATACTCGCACGTGTGAAACTCTTGCCGCATGATTGACAACTGTAACAACGACTGGCGTCTTGGGAATTTGGCGACGCTTGATTCTCTCGCAATAATTCTCGGGCAAATACTTCTGAAACAAAATAACAAGAAGAACAAAAATAAAACGGTACAGGATAATTTGAAATAATCATCTCTCGAAAAGTTTTATATTAACTTTTAAATAATATATATATATTTCAAATGATCATATATATATAGATAGATAGATTTAAGATTTTAATACAAGTTATTATTTAATACTTTATTGATCGGCTATTTATTTTAAGAATTTATCTCATGTCACCGGCTATAACTTCGTAATTGAATTGAAAAGTAAAACAATATAAGTAATTTTTAATAAATTTTACTGATAAACAGTATAACAATAGTACAAAAAAAAATCTGTTACTATTGTAATATTTATTTTCGCTGCGTCTTCCTTTTAAATAGCGTGATATGAAGAAAAAGCGCATCACGAGTTAACTCGAGACCGGTCAACAAAGTGTTAACAATTAATTCTATATAATTTTGGTAATATTATTATAGAGAAAAAGAAGGTGGAGATAGTGGTGTTTTGAAAGATTAAATTGAAAAAAAAAAGAAAAAAAAATTAATAAATATTATAATTATACTTACGGGTACAGGTAATATCCTGTCCCGATCCAATGGCTTGTTCCAATTGTGTAGTTGCAGATGCGTTGGTAGCATTAGTTTTGTCATTATCCAAATTCCAATCAATTTTGTCAGTGTTTGATGACGATGACTCTTCTTCCTCAGGAGGTTGTTGTTGTTGTTGTTGTTGTTGTTTATCATTGATGATTTCTGTAACAAAAATAAGGTTTATTAATTTTAACACTATGCCGTCCGGTGACACAAACAAATGTATCGGACAAATATTCCGGACGTCAAAGTGTTAAAATAAAATTTTTGACTAATGGGAAAAACAGAGAGAGAGAGAGAGAGAGAGAAAGAGAAAGAGAGAGAGAAAGAGAGAGAGATAGAGAAAGAATTAAAAAAAGACAAATGTCAAATTGATTCTCGGATGGTAAATTCATGCGCATCAAATTCTTGGCACAAGCTATGGATATAAAAAAAAAAAAGATAAATGAAACAAGGACATATTAATAAAATTATTAAATGATAATAATAAAAGAAAATAATGAAAATAATTAAAGACTGACATATACAATAATTTATATAAACTGTATTATATATAATAAATATAAAAAAAATATATATATATATATATATAATTATCATATTATATTAATAAAAAAAAATATTCGTTCCACTTGAAGAATCTTACCGATTTTGGACACCTTACTGAAAAAAAAAATAAATAAAAAAATAATAAAATAGCAAAATAAAAGAAAATTTATGAGTGTTTTTGTTTGTCTACATGTGAGGAGTGCGTGTGCATAGGTGCGTTTGTACTTGTGTGAGTTTCATTTTATTATTCTTAGGGGTGTTTCGAACAGTCGAAAACACTAAAGATTTTTTTTTTTTATTGAACAAATCAAAATACGTACAAAAATACACATGGTATGACGCAAGAAAAAAATTCAAATAAAAGTAATATAATCTTTTTCTTTCATGGATAAATATAAATATATATGTATATAATCTTTGAGATATCGATGAAGTTGATTTAAACTTCGATGATTTTCTCTGATCAATTGATAATTCTTCTTTGATAGTACAATGATATAAACACAGGAATTTAAGCCTAAAACAAACAAAAATAAAATATTCTTTTAAGTTTAATAATATATATATAATAAAAAAAAGAAAAATTTGAAAAAAAAATAAAAAACAACGTCCCACGTCGTTACTCCAAATATTTCCTTCTTCCTCTATTTTTGATTTAATTAATTGATTAGACCCCTGAAAGAAAAACAAGAAGAAGAAGAAGAAAGAAAAAACTGAAACAAAACAATTTAAAAATTCGATTGAAATAATAATTCCCATTACGTTGTATTTACAATAAATATATTATATATATATTATATATATATTATATATATATAATTTATTATATATTATATATATTATTATATTTAATGAAGAGATTATAAAATGTAATGTTACAATAATACGTATAATTACAATACTTAAAGTACGATTTAAAATGAGATTAGTTTAACTACCCCCCTGTCTCCTGTTACACTATTTTCACAAGTCTGACTCGTGATAAAAATTTGTTGGATTACAAACTTGAATTATCACGAGTAAGTCTTGTTGTTTAAATTTTTATGTCAAATGCAAATATTTTTCAATTAAAATAAATTTAAATCTCGTGACCAAGTATAAATATTTAAGTAAGAAATCTTATCCCTTCGTTTACCTTATTTATATGTACGGGTGGTTATTTTATATTTTGTATTCCAATGTAGTTTTACGTGCTATTTAGGATAAATTGTTGTATAGTAGAGATAAACATTTGAAAATAAATGATAATGGCTCATTATCGTTATTGTACACAGGTTATTTTAAACAACCAGTCTTCTTGACACAAAAATCAATTGCATGTGTAGTAATTGATAGGGGAGGGAGTCTCGAATGGGTTTAAAAAACATAGGAAAGGGGTATATACACATAGGAAAACAAAAAAACTGAAACAAAACAAAGAAACAAAATTATTTCATCTTTTTCAATTCATCGATGACAAATGGTTTTTCTCCAAAATGTCGTCGTTTGATATGCTTAACAATATTAGAACGGTGTCTGCTTCTCATTGTACAATAAGGGCAAAGAAATCTTTGTTCAAATCCACAAACATTCCGCAAATGCCAATACAACGAACGTTTGTTTTTATAACCGGTACAACAATTGTTGCAAATGAAATTTTTCGATCTGTTTGCGTAAATATTTTTACGAATGCTTAACGGCAATGTCATATCCATGTTGCAACCTCTCGTCAAATGACGTTTCAAATGGGAAGGCGATGAATATGGTATGTCACAATGAATGCATCGATACTCGATCACGTTTGCTTTGTTCATCCTCTGTTTGTAGATGAATAATGCTGAAACAGATTAAACAAACGACAACAATATATGTATTAGTGTCGAATTGTCATCAAATTATTGTATCAAATTAAATCTGTTTCATTTTAATTCTTTCCCTCTTTTTTTTTTTTTTTTTTTTTTTAATTTTAACATTAATTATAAATACATAAATTTTAATTAACGTTTACAAAAAGAAAAACGAAAAAGAAAAAAATAACATAGACTAATATTAACATTTATATAAATATATATTGCACACTCTTACAAGATAAAAACTAACTAACACAAGTTTTGATATCGTCACATTGAAATATACCAAGCTCATAAAAAAGGAAAGGGGGGAAATAGGAAACAAACCAATTACAATATTCTTATTAAAACACTTTTTAACTTGCTTTTTACTACAAATTGATAATAAAAACATCCTAAAAAGTTGCTAAAAGAGATATTATTCTTACTATTTTTGGTTTCAAACGATCTTGGAACTTTTTAGAGTCATCCATTAGTTTGTGTATTTCGTTCAAAGATTCAAGTAAAATTAGAGACGGTGTTTCTTCAAAAATAATGGAAAGATATATATATATATAAATTGTTAAATTTGATTTATTGATTATTTTTTATCCTGATAATGATTCTAATAATACATACGCACATCCACGCATGCATTCATGCATACCAACACACTTAAACATCACTTCTAACCATCATAAAATAAATTCTTATTTATCCTACATATTTCGGAGAACAATAATGATCTCTAAAGTATTATAATAATAGGACAATAATTTGAATAAAAGATGTATCATTTGAAAATCAATTATTGATTATTTTCTAAATCTATAACATATATATTCAAACCAAAATGTTTGTGTTTGATATGAGAATACATGTTGGAACGTTGTTTGGTCCTGTAACGACAATAAGGACATTGAAATCTAGGACTTTTACCACATTCGTATGTAAAATGACGCCAAAGTGCATTCCTTTGTTTATAAATTTTTCCACAAGTATTGCAAATATGACCCTGTCGTTCTTGTTGTTGTTGTTGTTGCTGCTGCTGTTGTTGTAGTTGTTGCTGATGATTTTGTTGATTTCCTTTCCAATTAAAAATTCTTGTATATTGATCAACCATAATTGCATTTTCTGATGTTGAGTATATTTGCCAATGTGCTGCAACATTAGAACATTAAAAACGTGTAACAATAAAACCTCCTGCTGCTGCTTCTGCTGTTGCTGATGATTTTTGCTATTTTAGGAACCTTGAAAAATATTCCTCAACCTGTTATCATTATTATAATGTATTACATTTTGATATAATCGTCTTAGATGCATCATCGAATCATTCTTAATATATACATATATTTTTTTTCTTTCTCTCCATCCCCCATCAACCACACACAAACTGATGCAAGTAATTAGAAAATAATGAAAATAAATTAGTATATTAATGAAAATTTTAATTAAGCAAATTTGTCAATTAATTTTTCAAATCGACACAAAATATTAATTTAAATATATATATATAATATACACACGATAAAACCAAATAATTCAAAGTTGATTTGTTATCAATAATAATGATGATGATGATGATGATGATTAATTTGAGTTGAACATTCCTGAAACATTCTTAAAGTATCAGTCCATTTTTAAATATTATTTAAAACAATAAAAAAATATTACATATATTTTTTAATAATATATATATAAACATATATATATATATATATATGTTTTCATTTTCGTGTAAATAATTTATTAATAATACAATACAATTTTTTTCATTTAATTTAAATAGAAAAAAACAAAATTAATATATACATATTTATAATAATTATCAACAATTTCGTACGTATTTCGAAGAGATACCATTGAATGATTTCAGTCAAGTTTCGTAAAAATATTAATGAACTATCATTATTATTATTATTATTATTATTACTATTATTAATATTAATATAATTATGATAATGCTGTCAAAGGATAGGCATTAAATGTGGATAATTGTGTACCCTACCGATATGATCGGAAAGGGTATCAGGCCTGCTGTAAATTTTGCCGCAGTTAGGGCAAACACACTTGAGTTTAGTTGGGCCACAACCATACCTGCTGTGCCTACTCAAGGACGAATGATTCTTGTAACGTTTTCCGCACTTGGTACACGAGAATTCTCCAAATCGGTAAGCGTTAACGTTCGAATATCCTGAAACGAAAAACAAACATAAATGGCGTCGATTGTCTTATGATCGAAACAACGACAAGTTAACACCATGATTTATTTTATTTTTTATTTTACTTTATTTTATTTTTTATTTTACTTTATTTTATTTTATTTTATTTTATATAATAATGGCGATTCAAATTAATTACAAAAAAAAAAAAGAAAAATAAAGTTGGGAAAGTTTGGAGCCTTTTACCTTTTTTGGAGCCATTTACATTTTTTTGTTTCTTTTTTTTCTTTTCTTAGGGAATACAATTTGATTTTTCAATACTTTGAAAATAAAATTGAATTAATTCTCAAACGAGACATAAAAATAAGATTTTTATTCATTTACTTAATTATTGTTTTTATATTGTTTGTATTATTTATAAGAGATGAAGAGATTATTTTAATTATTTTATTCACAAATATTATTATTGATTATTTCAGAGAAATATGACTAATGATTTTGATTAGGCTAATCTTGTAATTAAGAAGAATTGTTAATATTGCAATGATCGATCTTTTAAATATAATTTATGTATATGAATAAAATTATAACATTTTTTTTACTGCACTGATCAAAATATTCTAATCAAAATCTTTAACCAAAATCTTTAATCAAAATCTTTAATCAAAATATTAAAATATTTAATTAGATTAAAATTAAAAAAAAAAAAAAATAAAGAAAGAAAAACAGGATTCAACAAATATATCATTTAATCTTATATTTCTTTTATAATTGGATTTATTTAATACTAATCTGGAAGATGGTCGTGAAAAAGTGTGTGAATTAAATAATAAAAAGGTTATAAAATATGTTGTAGATATTTTTCTTTTTTATTTTTTTTTTTTTTAAATTTTGTTTTTATTTAAAGGACTTAAAAATATACAATGCCAAACCATGTACGAACAATATTGTACAAATTTATATGTGTTTAATTAATTGTAAGTGTGTTTTTTTTTTTAACGACAAGTGAATAATATAATTTCATAAATCACATATTACATAGTAGTAATTACGTTTGCTTGCTAATAATACACGTACAAATATTCTTATTAACGTTTATCCTATTCTAATTTAATTTGAACAGAATTTAATGATTTAATATATTTGCAATTATTTTACTATATATATATATATATATATATGAACAACATTATAAAAATAATAATAATAATAATATTAGGTCGAGTCATAAGTAGCTTTCGATGCCGCTATGTAGAATCTAATTTTCGTATTTACCTATTATAAGTCACTTAAACAAACGGATTTTCAATATCACTACATAGATGAGAATTCAGTTAGTCTTCTGTCAACTTTTTGATGTAGTCAATGTTACATTTAACCGTTTTGCTTAACCACTGAAATGGATAGTAAAAAGTGCATATTCTACATGTAATACTTTAAGAATTGAAACAAGGCAATAGCACTAAAATGGCAACTGAAAAAATATACAGCATATACGGTGCAGGATTGATAACTGATAGGGTAGTTAGAAATTGGTTTGTCAAATTCCGTTCTGGAGATACGATTTTAAAAGATGAACCGAGTGCAGGACGTATTTTTGACTTTGACGAACCTTTTAAAGGTAATATTAGAGCAAAATCCAATAGATACGTTGAACAATTGCAAAGAGTGCAAAAAAAACTGCATGAAAGGTGTCTTGCACTTATCGGTCGCAGAAACGCCATTCTTTGTCTCATAAAAAATGAAAATTATTTATGACTCGACCTAATTAACAATAAAAATAATATGAATTTTTGTAATCATTTCGAATATATATAAATGTCGATGTAACTTAAATCAATATAATTATTAATATTATTCGTATAGACATATTCGTTTAAGATAACAACAAAAAATAGTCTTAAATAAATGAAACATAATAGTATAATTAAGATATATCATCTATATAATGCAATTAATCGAAAATATAATTGGTATGATAAATTTCGAAGCATGGTACTATGCATAAACCGACGTTACATTGTTTACAACAATATCTTGATCTACGTCTTTTAGAAAATCTTGCACACACAACACAGCTTCTCACTCGATTTTCCTTCTTGATCTTGTCATTATTGTGATAAGCCGGATAATGTCTTTCTGTAAGACAAGCACACAATAATAAAAAAAAACAATATTATTTCCAATCATTTTCATTTAGATTTTTAATAAATGATGATCACCCACCGATCATGATCAAATATTATCATACTAGAATATACTTACTATAACAAAAACAAAAAGATAGAAAGAGAGAGAGAGAGAAAGAGAGAGAGAGAGAGAGTAAGAGAATTATAGTATAGTTTTTAACAGACCATGATGTGTAGTAGCAATATTCAAATTCAAAAAATATATTTTAATATTTTGTTTGTCAACTATATATCCACCATTAACAACAATCTCTTTGAAAAATTGTTCTATAAATTTTATTTTTTTTTTTAAATTATATTTAAATAAATAATATTATTAATATATTATAATTTCTTTTCTTTTCTTTAAGATATATTTTTCAATGATGATGGCAAACGATTGATAAAAACATTTTAAAAAAATAATAATAATAAAAAAAGATTAAAAAAAAATTAAAAAAAGATTTATCAATGGTATATAAAACATGTTTGGAATTTTTATTGGACTCTGGGAATTGAATAATAATATTCGTTGGACACACATATATGCGTCTAGGTATTTAGTATTTATATATACAATAAATATATATATACGTAAATAAATTTTTTTTTTTTTAAATATATTTATATATAAATTTGTTTTATTATAAGGAATAAATTACAAAATTCTTATTATACTAATTAATAATAGGAATTACAAGTTCATTTGGCGTTTATTTAGAGGAAGGAAACGAATATTTGGCAGTTGAAGTTGTACAGAACGCCCTATTTAAATATATATTTATATATATATATATTCGTGTAATATAACTCGCGTTTGAAGCAAGTGTTTATAAAAAAATATATATTTCTATGTATATATTTTTGTATATAATAAATTTCGATAAGTGCAACAAGGTAATGCACTTCTAAATTCGTTCTAATATCTTCCTTCTATCTTTTTCCTACTATTACAAAAATTATTTCCCTAATTTTTTTTTTTCTTTTTAATATTATCAGTATCTATAACATTAACAATTTTTATTAATAATATTACTATAATAAAATTATTCAAAAGTGTTATATATTTTATATGTATATATTTATTTATTTATATGTAATTTAGATGAGATAAAAATTGTCGGGAATTGATAACAAAATTGTGTTTTTTTTTTTATTTTTTTTTTTTTTTACTTTCTTTTATAAATCTTTTTTTCTAAATGTGCTAAATATCACATCAACAATATTCTTCTTAAATTAATAACAACAAAATTAATAATAATAAGAAAAAGACGAAAAAGTAAAATATAAAATAGAATATAAAGAATATAAACTATGCTATATTATAAACATAAATATTATATGTGCGTGTTGGTAATAATATTGCGACAAAAAATTCAACTTAAAAATTAATATTTTCTTTTTTTCTAATTTTTGTTTTTTGTTTTTTGTTTTTTTTTTTAACTTAAAATAAATTTTCTACACGTGAACATAGAACAACATACATCCATACATACCAAAAACAAGAAACTACGCATACAAGCGTAAACACACACACACACACACACACGAATAACGCAAGGGCTCCTTTGGTGTTCCTTTGGATATATCAAAATTACAAAAGTATAACAAAAACAAAAAAGAAAACCGTGAAAAAAAAAAACATTGTTCGATATTTCAAATTGATTTTCTTATATGCAAAATAATAAGAGGTAATAACAAAATAAAATATTCACATAGATGAACAATAATTTCACTAACATAACAACTCTATTAACCCTATCGCTATTACGGGCTACTATAGTGGACCTCCATAAATGGCCATCATATTAGCAGTCCGTACAGTAAAAGTAACGCCATGGAAAACACCCCCGTAGCGAAAAGATTAATATATATATATCTATATATAATTGTAATTATCAATAAAGTTGAAATGTTCAAATTATTAACGAAATTGAGATAGAGGATAAGAAAATAATGAGGAATATATGACGGTAATGAAAGTGAAGAGTGAAGATGTTAAATGATGACGATGACGATGATGAAAGTGAAGAGTGAAGATATTAAATGATGACGATGATGAAAGTGAAGAGTGAAGATATTAAATGATGACGATGATGAAAGTGAAGATATGAAGATATCAATGATGAAAGTGAAGATACAGATATCAATGATGAAAGTGAAGATGCAGATATCAATGATGAAAGTGAAGATGCAGATATCAATGATGAAAGTGAAGATGCAGATGTTAAATGATGACGATGATGAACCAAGTGGTGGTGTGATAGTGGTGGCGGTGAACTTGATAATGATGAGTGATGACGAAAAAATATAAAACCCTGACGAGATGTAAAGAATCATGGTGGTAATAGAAAAGTTCGGCTATTTGGCCATGAATCCACAATGGATGTTAAGAATATGTTGTTTGAGATGATCCGTTCTGCAGAAGTACTTGCCACAAAGTGTGCAGATGAACGTATACCTGGATCCAAGACCACCGCATTCATATTTGGAGTGTCGCGTAAGGGATGAACGCGATCTGTATCCACGACCACACATGACACATTGAAATTTGTGCTCACCACCACTGGGAACACCACCCTTGATGGTTGGGTGAGCTGCAAGCATACAGGGAGGCTTTTTTACATATGGGTTCTTCTTTTTTTTTCTTTTTTTTTTCCATCCCTTTTATACTTCTTTTTTTTTTCATTAATTCATTGATATTTATAATGTGTTCGTATGTGTACGTATGTGTGTGTTCAAATTAAAACAGAACGGAAATGAAAGAGAGAGAGAGAGAGAGAGAGAGAGAAAAAAAGAATAAGTGAAAGGTTTTCCTTTTCCTTCCTTCATTTAACAACTTATTTTTAATGAT